AGTAGTGATTATTTAATAAAATAGCGACGGTTTTATTGGTTAAAAACGAATAAATGGATATTGTGTTATGTTAAGGTAATCTTGGATTTGAATATTAGTTTTTACATTAGACGCTTAGTGAAAAAATTGTTGAAACTTATAAAATTCCGTCTTCTTCAAAGAATCATTGAGGAATACTATAAAGATAAATGAGTTCTCGTGTTATAAGAGGCGTTTATTGTGATTTCACAATGATTTGTAGTATACTTTTAAATTTCTTTTGTTCGATTTCCTTTCAATCATCGCTATCGAAAATTCATTAATTAATCACGACTATTTAGCACTGGAAAAGGACGTCGTCAGTTAAAAAAAAAGATATATATATATATATATATATATATATATATATATATATACTGTACAAATATACAGAAACATTGGCAATTTTACATATTAGGCCACAATGGTAACAATAATTATTCGATATTTACATGTTTCGTTAATCGTTTAATAGTGAAACTTGACAATCAAAATATTTCGTTTCATTCTATAATCGCTCGCAGGTGCACACGAGACCCAAAATCAAAGAATTCGAAAATCCCCTGAGAGAGGTGACCGAAGGCGACAACGTCAACATCGTTTGCAACGGCACGGGCAAGCCGCCACCAAAGTTCGCCTGGATCAAGACCATGACGAAAGAGAATCTGGCGACGGCCGATCGTTTTGGCGTAAACAAGGACACGGGCGTCCTCACTATCACGAACGTGAGACGCGAGGACAGCAGCGAGTACCAGTGCACGGCCTCGAACGCCGCTGGCATCACCACCATGAACATCCAACTAAACGTCCTCATCAAGCCCAAGATCATGGAGTTCCTCAATCAGACCGTCGGCCAAGGGGGCAATGTCACCCTCTCCTGCAAGGCCTTTGGCAGACCACCGCCAAGCATAATCTTCCGCAAGCACACGACTTCCAATCCGTACACCATCGGCGCCCAAATGAACGACGACAGGATCATTCTCAATAATAGATTTGACGATCAGAATGACGAGACGATCGGAGAGCTGAAGATCGATCAGGCCTTAAGGTACGAAAGCTCTGAAAATATTCGACTTAAAATTAATTATATATCCTCCTCCCCCCACCCACCCACCCACCCACCCAATTAGCTCACCAGCACGAAAGCTATTATAATAAAGGTTTTTGGGAGGGCGACGAGCAGTTTCCTTAGGCCCTTTAAATAAACACGTATCAACGCTCGCTTCTTCCCACTTTCTCTCCTCCATACGGACAAATAATGCCGTTGTAGCGCCAATACTCTAGACGAGGCGATACGATTAATAACGAAATAACCTCTTTTATCCGCAGATCTAACGACGGCATGTACGAGTGCATAGCAAACAATAAGGGCGGCATTGCATTCAAGAACGGCCATCTGACCGTCGAGTTTCCGCCATCCTTCGCCTCGATGAACAATCGGACGATTTGGTCGTGGGACGCACGGCCCGTGAACCTCACTTGTATCGTCGAGAGCATACCAAACGCGACGATTCGCTGGACTTACTACGGGGACCAGAAGGTCGAGAACGATCCTCAAATTAAAATCATCGGCAACGGTCCCATTTCCCATCTGCTCATAATACCCGTGAGCAAACGATATTACACTCAGTACAAGTGCATAGCCAACAACCGATACGGCGAGGCCTTTCACTTATTGGAGCTGAGGGATGCGCCCAAACCGACGGAAATACCTCAAGTCAGGATGGTAGAGACGACCGCGACAACAATAACATTTAATATTGTGCCCCCTGTAGCGCCGGACGATCTGCCGATAAGAACCATCATCGTGCAGTATAGAAAGCAGGATACGGGTTGGAATACAGCACGCAACAGGACCTGGGCCGTCGGTGAGCCTCCAATGCTTAAGAATATAAAAAAAAAAATCACTAGCTTAAACGTGCCCACCCTCCCTTCCCCCAGCTACCACCACCACCCCACATATATACTATCTGTACACTCGTTCTCGTCCGTTAGAAAAAACGAGAGAAAAGAAAAAGAAAGCTACTTTTGCCTGCTTTTTCCCTCACTCCCTCCCACCTCTGGTATATTTAAATCCAGGAGAGAGAGAGAGAGAGAGAGAGAGAGAGAGACAACGTTTTTGTCTTTTAAGTAGAACAAGTGTTTTTACCACATTATTCAAAAATTTCATTTTAACATTAGCCATGTGAGTTTAACCCATCTTCTATGAAAATAAAATCAAATCTCTTTAATTACGGATTATCAACGATTATGGCATTATCGCTTTGCATTGCTTTCGCTAGATTATTTAATCGATTCACGATTGGATCTTCCACGCTAGCCAAGTGCCGCAGATCGATGATATATCCGACTTTTGTCAATGGATGCTGATGTTTTATTTTTCTCCCCTCACCCCGCTCGTCCCCTACCACGCATACCTCGCCACACCCCATTTCAGGCTCTCACGGCATCTACGTGGTCGAGAATTTGGAGCCCCAGACGAATTACGAGTTTCGGTTTGCCGCCTCGAACGAAGCCGGTCGCGGCAACTGGGGCATGAACAAGCGCTTCTCGACGACGATGCGAAGCGTCCCCGGACTGGCCCATTTCTTGCCCACTCCCGAAGGGGCCTACATTCTCTCCCACTACCACGACAAGTACAATGCCAAGTGGTCGGTAGCACCTGACAACGGAATGAGCATCGACTACTACGAGGTTAAGTGGTGCAAGGTCAAGAAGTACACCGGCGACCAGTGGGAACTCGTGGAAAACACTTGCCACAGCAAATTCGAAACGAAGCGCGACACGTGGATTTCGGGACTTTATCCCGATACTTACTACAAAATCGAGCTGCGGGCCCATAATGAATTGGGCTTTGGCGCCCCCGCAAATATCACGATTAAGACTACGAGAGGTAATTTTTGTCACCCTATATCTATCATCATTAAAATCTCCATCCCGTGTCTTAAGAACTATTTGAGCATTTTTTAATTTTTATTTAATTTTCTTGTTCTTTTTTGTTTTCTCCTTTACTATTATTACTATTATTATTGTTGTTGTTATTATTACTATTATTATTATTATTATTATTATTATTATTATTATTATTATTATTGTTATTATTATCATCGTAATTATTATTATAATCATTGTTATTGCTATTACTATCGTTATTATTTATTATTTATTATTACTAATTATTTATTCACCATTATTGTACACCAGTGTACACGAGTACCGTTTTATTTATTTATTTATTTATTTAATTCTTATTATCGTTCGTTTGTAAATCGTATCCCCATTATTTTTCATCCGTACTTGCATTTTACTTGTTTTTCTATCTCCGAATATGCATATTCACGTTTAAAAATTAGCACTCGAACGGTATTAAAGTGTCGATAATGATGTAAAAGTTGTTACGTACGTGTAAGTGCATTGATCACGTAACTGGAGTGTAGACTGGTACGTACAAGGGAGACGTCGGGGATATTTATTTAAATTCGAGTCAAAGCTAAATCGACGTGTATCGCTCGGTCCTTTTCTGTCCACCCTTTCAACACAAGCTTTTTATTATCCAGAATCTGAGGGCTTTGTAGTGGATGCACATATTACATCTGACGGAGTCGCTATCCAGCTCACCATGAAGGTCGTTGCCGCCACATTAACGATCTTATCATTAGTAATTTAAAGAAAAGCGCCATCAAGACTTTAAAAATAAAGACAACGACGAACGGGATTCGAATTTTAGCATTCGACGAAGTGACAATGAAAACGAGTTTACGTACGCTCCGCAAAGTAGATCAACAGAAAAATGAAAAAAAAGGAAAAAAAAAATTAAAAAATAAAAATTAAACAACTTATTACGCATAACACTGGGTATACACATAATTTTGAGTAGCTGGAACGTGTATGTTCTTTGCATTACGCTAGGGTCAAAGATCATTTTAGATGTTTAACGTCTCTTCCAGATTCGTTTCAATGTTATTTTCCGCCGACTAACGTATTCCACAGATCTACGTTCTTTATTCCGAAAAAGAACGAGAGAGAGAGAGAGAGAGAGAGAGAGAGAGAGAGAGAGAGAGAGAGAGAGTGAGAGTGAGAGTGAGAGTGAGAGTGAGAGAGAGAGCCATTGTCCGCTAGATAAATGTTACGCCAAAGGCGGAAGAAAAATAATAGAGGATTAAAGTTGTGCGATTAGTTATTTTCAATTCTCACCTCTATTGTACGCGATATTAATGTGCAGAGAACAAGCGCGAAAATCAATCACCATTCATCAATTACATTAGCTTAGGATCGTATTAAAGATTTATGGTATACATTCCGATGCGAAGAGAAAGCGAGATAGGTGAATGAAAGAAAGAAAGAGAAAAAAAAAAGAAAGAGAGAGTGAGAAAGAGTGAGAAAGAAAGATTTCAAATCCCGTCGATATTCGACGGATAATCAAGCGTGTATTTATAGAGTTTGCATTGAATGCTCATTATTATAAACGTACTGGTACGTTTCATATTTACTTTGCTACACTCACAAGCGGATCTTGTAATTCTTTTTTTTTTTTTTTTTTTTTTTTTTTTTTTATATAAAATATATATTTGTTTGACATCTCTTTTTATTCTCGCATAAGTCATACGGGAGTGCGTTCTTCGTGTTGTGCTCTATACAAACGAGTCTTGTTAAAGTAAAGTAAATAAATAATTAAGTAAATAATTAATAAACAAAAAAAATAAATAAATAAGTGAAAAAAAATAAAATACAAAGAAAGAAAAAAAGAAAGAAAAACGTTAAAATCAAGATGCCTTACATTGCCAAATGCCTAGTGTTTACGAATAGTTTCTCATGGGCGAGAAAAATTTTGTCAAAGGCTGGAATCGTATTTTTAGAGAATTTTTACGTAGTATTGAGATTATATAAATATAGGAGCTCTATTTACATTCAAGAGCATCGGTACTTTTTAATTTTTCTTGATGAAACTTTACTTATCAGGATTAATACTAAACTATTTCTTTTAAAATATTTAAAACATTCGTAAGAGTGCCCACTAAAACTAACCAAAATTTATTTATTTTACGGATAAAAGCACTTTCTATATATATATATATATATATACATATATTTTTTTTCTCCATTAATTATGCATCATAACCAATAATTGTTTGTAAGACAACAAATTGACGGATGCTGGATGTTAAATTAGTGTTAACGGAATACTATACCGTACATTTGTCTCGAAAAAAAAGAAAAAGATCTCGCTAAAAAAACAAAAAAAAAACAAAAAAAAAATAAAAACAAAAACAATAATCATATATCTCTTAATACAAAATTCTTAAAAAAAATTTTTTTTTTTTATCTAATTTACTTTATTATATTTCATTATCATTTTCAAGAACTTTTTTTTCCCTATATTTTTTTCACGCCCCCCTCCACTCGCCCCCTTAACTTTATATCGTTTTTCTTCTTCTTTTGAATCTAATCAGTCACTAGTTGTCTGCTTGTCTAGAAATATTTGTCCGTCGAACCGCGGTTTTAGAGCGCATTATTTGTCCAACCTTCCTTAGACAATTACGATTCATTATATTTTATTGCTCGACATGGCAACCATGAATGTTACTGCATTAGGGCTATTCTTACTATGCAGATCATTAATTTTAGCACTTAGTCAATATTTTAATTAATAAGTAATCAACGACATAATATGAAAAACTTTTCACGTATTCTGTGTTACTTTATAAGCACTAGTGATTGACGTCACGCGTCGTCATACATAACGTCGCAGCACAAACGCACAAACGCCCTAATTATTGACACTGTCGTGGCGGCAATGAGTCTGCATAAAAATATCCTTCAAAAATATCCTATTGCTTGCTAAAGCCGAAATTCGACAGTGTTGGTAAAATATTGGCAGGAATGAGGTTAAGCTCGTCGCACGTTGCAAGCTGCTTCGCCGAAGCATTGGCAGCCTCATTTAATTACGACTAAATTTTACTTTTCCCGTTTTAATTATCGCGCTTCCACGACCAATTGGACAACTTAAAAGAAACGGAATAAAACCAAAAACAAACAAAAAAAAAAACAAAAAAAAAACAAAAAAAAAAACAAAAAAAAACAAAAAAAAAAAAGAAAAGAAAAGGAAAAAAAAAGAAGAAAATTTACGAACATCAGCGTTGTCTGGGAATTTTCCGTCGGTCTAAAATGGAATTTGCGTCGCGACGTCGTTTCCATATTTGCCCCTGCAAAATCGACGCCGCGACGCGACCTTCTGCAACGCGATGCATGGCATGCGCTTGATTGTTGTTTCACTTCTTTTTCATTTTCTTTTTTTTTTCTTTTTTCTATTTTCCTTATTTGTACACTTTTTTCTCTCTCATTTTTTTTACTCTCGATGTAACGCCGTGTCTGCATCACTGTGTTTTAAGTTAAGTAAGTAGCGTCGTTTGCCTGCTTTATAGCGCCGATAAATTTTACGCAAAGGCGACGGATGGACATTTCTTAAAAAAAAAAAAAAAAAAAAAAAAAAAAAAAAAAAAAAAAAAAAGACTTTCAAGATGCAAAATTTATTGGAATTACTTCCGTTTTACGGGAGCGATATCGCCGTGGAAATTAATACATGTCCGGTGGAAAATACATGCGCTTTGAGAAATGTAAGAGCTTAGCTGATTTTTATTCTCGTTTGGTGTATACACAACTTTCGACGCTATTATTCGTAAAAACAGTACTTATTAAGTATTGCACGATTAGCTCGCAAAGTTTACGAAATGTATACACACGATCTTGATAAATCAGTTTCAAAGGCTTTTTTCTTTTCTTCAAATTGCATTATATTTTTATCGACGATTATTAATTACGGGCACTGAATTTTCTCTCCCGCTTTTATTTTACGATTAGAAATATTTACTTTCCTTATGTTACAACAATAACAAAAAAATAAATAAATAACTAAATAAACGAAATAAAAACAAATCGTAAAAATAAAAATAATAACAAAAAATAAAATAAACAAAATAATAAAATAGGCCGACTTATTGATACGGTAAACTCGATTTAGATGAAAGAGAAAGATAAAATAATGGTTTAGAGAAGTGTAGAATTGGTCCTAGTAATTGGCGTGAAAAAGCTTGGCTTCGAACTCGAGACTCGTAAAGGGAAATAAATAATCATCCGTAGAGTTAGCAACGAGTACTTTGACGCCGACGACGACGACAACGAATACTACCATTACTACTACTACTACTACTACTATCGGTACTACTACTACTACCGTCACCACTACTACTCGAATACTACCATTACTACTACTACTACTACTACTATCGGTACTACTACTACTACCGCTACTACCATCACCACTACTACTACTACCATCACCACTACTACCACCACCACCACCACTACCACCACCACCACCACCACCACCACCACCACTACTCGTACTACTACTACAATGGTTGCTTTATTTACGTGTCGCCAGAGTGTGGATTCGATGAGAATAACGATTGAGAGTAATGTGAGACTCTCCTGGCTAACGACAGTTAGTTTTACGAAGCTCGAGCTCGTTTCCATAAATAGATCGCAAGCCTTAGACGGCCGTTTGTGTGTAAGCGCCCGAAGAGAGGAGGAAAGAATGAGGAAGGAAAATTGATGAAGGAAAATTGTACAATGGTGCATCGACACTGCGTCCCTCGACGATTGTACAGAACACGATGAGCGTGGAAGGGAGCGAGCGCGATGGCAAGCGCCGATGTGTTGAAGCAGCATATTACGCCTCATCTACCACCTTCTCCTCGAGCTTTCTTATTTCACTTGGGTTTGGCAATTCCGTTGGGAGAGCGGAGTGTAGGTGGAGCCAGAGACACGAATTACGTACTTTTAGTCTAGCTGTACTCGTAATCGTATTAATCGACTTGACTCACCATTCGCTATGGCGAAAGCTCGTTTATGAGAGATTACTCGGCGATGTCGAGTTATTGACGCGCTTTTCTCGTCGCATGACGTGCACCGAGCACGTGGAGTTTGAGGCCGTGAAGCAGGCAGACGCGCGCGCGCGCGCGCGCCCTTAATGCAACGAAATTACACCCACACAACTGATATATATATAAAAGAGAGAGAGAGAGAGAGAGAGAGAGAGAGAGAGTCTTTTTCCCATGGCATGAGAAAAATCTCCCCGTACATATAAATCACGTAATTCAGTGGTCGTCTTATAAGCGTTTATAGATGTCTGTGTTCTTGGCTAAAGCCAGCATATATACGTATAAAGCAATGAATAAGTCCTTTTTCTGCGGAGCATTTATTACTGTAAATAATACACACACTTATAAATAGAGAGCTGGAAAAAAAACAAAGAAGAAACGAAAAAAAAAAAAAACCAAAAAAAAAAATATCGAAAATACATAGAATGTTCTGATGGAAAAACAACAACGCACTCGCATGGACCACCGATGAAGTCACTTTCAAGCGTTCCGCGTTGCGATTTTTGCATTATGGCAAAAATAATAGTACGGTTTTGCCACCGCTGTTTTGCAAATCGATCATCTCCCAAACAAATGGACGAGCTACGTCGATCTTGCACAGCTTTCTACCGCACACGTAACAGGAACACTTGCAGTGACTTTCTCGGCGCGTCCACATTTTTATTTGATTCAATACAAAAAACCGCTACGGAGTCCCGCACACGCAAATCCATCAAAGTATCGCCTCATAACAATGAGGAGTAGAGCAAATATGTTGACTGACAGATCGAATGGTAATTATGAATTAAAAGCCAGCCTTATTATTACTATTACATTTATTATTATTATTATTATTATTATTAATATTATTAATACTATTTGTTAATACTGTTACTGTTACTATTAATATTATACTAAATCGTAACAAAAGATTTTGCTTAAAAAAAAAAAAAAAAAAAAAAAAAAAAAAAAAAAAAAAAAAAAGTAAGGTGTATGGATGGCACGTGTTTGTCTTGTTGCGTAGCATTAAATATAGCGATGTAGTGTGGCGTGGCTGTTACTCTTGCTGCTACTGCTACTGCTACTGCTACTGCTACTGCTATTCTTACTGTTACTGTTACTGTTACTGGCCACTGCTACCGCTACCGCTACCGTTACTGCTGCTACTGCCGGTGGTGCTGGACCGAGGTGCAATTACGCAGAGTAGTCGTACCAGTAGACGTGTAGATTAACACACACAATCGCGTGTGCGCACTGCTCGGAAGCAAATGGTTCTTACCTTTCTCGAAGCCCGAGTTCTTACTTACTCTTTTGTCCCCCATTTACTTTTACCGTGTGTTTTCTCTTCGAGGTCCCTCCTCGTCGTCTGCCACAGCCTCTGCTCTGCCTCCTTTCATCGCACGGCAAAACGGAATAAAAACAAAAACAAAAGCATAACTAACTTACTTCGCTTATTTTCAAGTCCAAGGCCTTTTTTTCTTTGCTTTCCTTTTCATTTTTCCCGTAATCGCTCAACAGCTTCCCGGGCTCTCGACCAACCATTGCTTGTCGTTTTTGTTAACGCTTACGCTCACATCACCTCATCTCACCTCTCCCCACCCCCTATGCCCCTTTTCATTCATTCGTCCGACAATAACATCATCCGTCCATTACGCTGTTCAATATATACCAATGATAGGCACGTTTACAATGACTTCGGAGCGGCAAATTTTTGTTGAGAAACGCGCGACTCGTCGTGTCACACTCGTTCACACCAATGTGAACACGTCGTATCAATCTCGCCACATTACGGCCTTTAAATATATAAATACAATATTGTACTATAGCGATACCTTCTTCCGTCTGTTAAATTATTAGGAAATTCCTACCGTTCTACCTTATTACGAGCTGACGTTACAATACTATTTTACTTAATAATTCTATTAAAAAAAGTGAAAAAAAGATTGTACGTACGCCAGTAGTACGCTGCTTCGTCACTAATCTCACATATTTCTTCTTGTACTTTTGTTTTTTATTTGTTTGGGCAATGAGAACGTACCTGCAAGTATTTTTACCTCGATAGGAATAGATAAGGTGTGTGCACCCCAAGTTCGGTTATCAGATAATAATGAGCAATGTCGAGTCGGAACAGAGTATAGTTAAAGAATATAATAGAGCGAGTTAATCTAATAATTTTGTTCAAATTTCTTACTACTATTTATTTATTTATTTATTATTTTTTTTTTTTAAACAATCATAATCATTGATGACATCAAGATAATTTATAATAGTGTAATTTTACATGCAATTATCTCGCTTAACGAAAGTTAATTAGAATAATAAAATAAACTCTTGCGTACTCGTCGTCAAATGCTTACTTATTCCTGTAATGCGCCGACGGCTCTTGAAAGACATTAATTAATAAGCCTTTGGGTATTGAAATGAGAAAAGTAGGCATTGATACTCGGTTGTTAAATCCTAAGTATATCGAATCATTTAGAATAAAGTTCAGCTGTACTAGCGTTCTTTAACAATATATAAACATATACACCATTATGCAGAGGATAAAAAAAAAAAAAAAAAAAAAAAAAAAAAAAAAAAAAAAAAAAAAGAAGAAGAAAGAGTAGTAAAAAAAAAACAATCTACAACAAACTTGTATCGTTGAATACTCAAAAGTCTACGCATTCATTAATGATAAAAGCCAATGCATTATAATTATAGATATAATAGGCTTACGCTATTTATCATCGATATGCGACGTTTAGTTGATAAATGAGCTTTACGGATCTTATAATTAACAATTTTTGTTAAACATAGAATAGTATTGAGCGATATAGTAGGGCGGAGGAGGGAGTGGGGTAAGATGCATCGAGTACGATGCCTCGATGAAATCTTGGTATCTATCGATTCGTTAGAGAGAGATAGGGAGAGAGAGAGAGATAGGGAGAGAGAGAGAGATAGGGGGGGGGGAGAGGATTTAAGTAAACGTTTGTGGCAGTCTCAGTTAAAAATCATAACGTAACGTCTTGCAATTTGTATCGCGCTATGTATGCACAAACGTGTAAATAAATTTGAAATCATTTAAACGTGCTCATCTGCATTATCATCATCATCACCTATAACATAGGCTTAAGATCTCGTGTACGTTTTTTCCTTTTTTAATATTCAAAAATGATAAACGGATTGTTGGCAGTCTATAATAATATGCCGCCTGCCTCGTTATCTCTTATCTTCTTATTAAGATTATGTCTAAACTGTTTGGAAATGCATTAATGCGCTCACGGCACGTGTTTGGTGATGTGTCCCGGCTAAGTAAATTTGATGCGTTTATATATTTTGCTTTTCTCCAGTGTGGAGGCACAGCGCACGCAGTACCAGTACGTTTTTCGTCTTTCTCGTTTTATCGAGCTCCATCGTTTAATCCTGAACGGAAATCACCCGGTAGGAGTCCTCTATAATATTTTCATACAACAAAAGTTTTTTTTTTTTTTTTTTTTTTTTTTTTTTTTTTTATCCTCTGCGGGTCCCACATGCACGCTATTTATTTATTTATCTCGACTTCATGGCTGTCCATCCGCGCGTTAAGAGTGCGCCAACCACTTACGCATACGCATACACACACGCGCACGTACGTGTATAATTCTTGGCTTGGCGATCGATCAATCGATAAGAGTCGCTCGTCGCACAGCTAGAAACTCCATTGTGTGCGAGGTTCTATTGAAACGTCGCACGTTTACCACCACCACGTCCATGTAACCTACAAGACCGAGGGGGGGGGGGGGGGTGGATAGCACATAGAAAAAATCGCTGAATGAAAGAATTCGGTTCTAGGCTCGGCGTTCCATCACCAAACATCGTCCCGTTTCTTTCAGCTTTTGCACTAACATTGTTGATCTCATGCGACTCTCCCGGCTCCGAGGACTAATGACGAATTTTCGATTTCTTTACAGGCAACGTAAGTAACGCATCTGTGCTCCAGCATCATGGCTCCGTAATCTCAAGCGCGGCCATAATCGGCATTGCTATTGCCGCTTTTATCGTCATCATGCTGATTATCGACACCATACTTTACTGCACCAACAAGTCAGGTAACCAACACATCGTCGCGTAGTAACTATGGCTTATTTATAATCGGATCCAAAATACTCGCGTATTACTTGATAAGAGATAGAAAGCTATGGTAATACTGGAATTTCTTGCTCTTAGACTTAACACTTGCGTTGGCGTCGTCGTCCGAATCAATACTTCTACAATGACCTTTTATTAAAACAATTATTAAATCTTTATCTTCGCTACTAGCCTTTACTGTAGCGTAGAGAATGATGATGATTCATCATTAATTGCTTTGACATTCAATAAGCGATAAAACAAAATTTTTAACTGTCTTGCTTTGTTCGTCCCAGGTATTATTTACTACATGTGCGAGAGATCACGAAGGAAACCCGTGGACGAGGAAGATGCAAAATTAGGAAGGTACGTACGAGCAATTACAAGACTTTTGGCGAGCAAATTACAAATACATACCTATGCATAGCATATACATACATACATACATGCATAATTAAATAAATAAATAAATAAATAAATACATACATGCACACATGCATAAATGCGCGTGTTAACGTAGATGCATATACGCGTGTATATTAACACGCCTATACCTCTCTGTTCATTTCTTTCATCGCGCGTGCGCGTGGGCACAAACGCACAAACACACAGACACAAAGACGCGCACATCCATCCCGATACATACGCACGTACGTTAACACGTAAACACGCAGTCACAATTTTCGTCGATCATGACACGGCACATATGTCCATTTATCCATACAAACTTTATAGTATTATTCATCATACGCACGTAATGAAATTTGTTTTAAAAATATACTCGTCCAAGCTCGACACATTCTGTGCTTTGGCAACTTTGGCGCTCTCGTGTCATTGAATTTCACGGTTCTTGCATTGACCGTTCGCGTATCGTACATTGACTCTATTTTTTCTTTCGTTTGTTATTTATAATTGTTTTACTCCCGCATAGCTCATAACACGAATATTCCAAAGATATTTTTTCAAGTAATTTTAATTTCTTATATTCATTAGAGAACAAATGTTCGGCATACTTGAGCATGCATCTCGAATATGTCATTTTAGTACTTGTGCATTAAAAAAAAAAAAAAATTTCTCTTTATTAAGAAGCAATTTTTCATGTTATTCTGCATTATCTTTCTCACAAATTTAAGCAAGAGCGTAAAATTATTTCGTCGTTTGTTGTTTTGTAAATTATACTCAAATTACGACATCATTTTACTCAGCGATTCCAACAATTTATATTGTAATTGATATATCAAATTTCAATGAATAATGTACGAAGCGAACTCTTATCATTGCTGAACATAATTAAATACATTGACATAAATAGCCTAATTAAATGAGCGTACAAAAACACATTGTGCGTTAGGTTTAATGTAAAGTTAGTAAAGTATCGTGTGTATAGGGGGTGGGGGGGGGCATATTAAAGTTACGATTACGGTTTAAAGAATATGCAAAATAAAGAGGGATGGAAATTAGGTATTATGTTGTGCGTAATGTTGAAATTTGGTACTGACGTTGTGTTTTTTCATCGTACGTAGTCTTTACGGTTGGCGGTTCCCATTGCCGTATTGTGACCAAAAAATGGCGAACGTCGCCGGGGTGACGGCCATTCAAGACTCGGGTAGTGGAAAAAGTACCATTACACTGGTCAAGCATACTGCCATGTAAGAAAGTAAACGAGTTATGATGGGCTTGCAAAAGAGATTGAGAGGGCAAGAGTTGAAAAAAAAAAAAAATAATAATAATAACCATTAGACAAAATTAGATAAATAAAAGGAAAAAGCATGAGGCAGTGCCGAAACAGTGTGGCTTTTCACATTTTTCGTTCAGCATGGCGTTTAATTTTGTTTTTGTTCTTCTTTTATTATTTTTGACGATGTATTTTGTGTGAATCATTGGACTCTGTGACTCCCATGTCTTTGTCAGCGTTTCGTACCCATAGTTGCTCTCTAAAGTCGATTCTATTACGTAAAAGGCGCGAAATAAAAAAAAGAAGCAAAAAGAGCAACCGATCGCCCGCAAGGGAAGCGGAGATCAAGAGGGAATGCTTATAAGAAAGATATATATATATATATATATATATATATATATATATATATATATATATATATATATATATATAGAGAGAGAGAGAGAGAGAGAGAGAGAGAGCATGCAACGAGTTCTTTCTTCTTTCTTCCCTCCCTACTGGCTTATTGTGCTGAATCTTCCGCCAACTTTTTTCATTCTTGGACTCCGCTTCACTCGGAAGAACTTGGAACGACGAACGCTCCTTCCCTGTTATATTTAGCGACACTCACCATTTTCTGCCCTCACATCCTTTTTATTGTTTTGTCGAAGTCTGTAATATTACAATGTATCTGTCTCTTCTCAAATTGATTCGGCCCTTTACCACTAGACATTATCGGAAAATTTTAATTATACACATAAACATAATAACGTAGCCATTGGTTAAGATTGTTTAATCATTGACGGTAAATTCACCCGTTCTTAATTTTAATTTTTTTTTCTTTTTAATTGATTGTAATTATCAATTAATGTGCAGTTTTTCAATTGAATAAAAGATGTTAGAACATACGTCATTAATATTATAGTCATAAATAATATAGAGTGAACATTTGCTTTGAAAAATTTAGCGACGTCGCATGATTATTAGTCATTATCACACGTAACGTAACGTAACGTAATCCACACGCACATTACGGACTTCGCCTCCTGTTACGTAAAAAATCCTTCGTTACCAATCGTATCGTCGTTACATATATCATACGCATTAAGCTTTGGCAATGTTGCACGTTTATTATACGACACACCACCGCTTAGTCACTTTACTTTCATAGTGTTGTGTAGTTGACTTAATGTATTTTGTACGTAGCTCTCGGTAAATAAAATAGTGAATTCAAACAATTGCCTACTACTACCATTCGTCGAACATTCATACGGAAGCAATAAAAAAATATCTTACAAATATAGCTTAATGCATATCGTAGTAATAATATTACGTTTTGTTTATTAAACAATGTATATATAACATTTGTTTGAATTCGATAAAATCCGTTTCGTTCGCTCGGAGAAATTGCGCCATTTGGTTCATTAAAATTTCAACTTCATCAATAACATAAAAAATTTATTTTGTGCAGGTTCTTTGCGAAAAATATGAGAAATAATTTCCGCAAAAAGAGTCGTGTTAGTGCGCGCTCGTCTACTACAAAGCAAAACATTAAATAATGTACTTTGGGATAATAATTTGTGAGCCAAAGAAAGGGGCATTTCTCCGAGTATCGAAGTACTAAACGTAGTGTAAATTAAAAATATTATGTTGCCGACTGTGGTGGTCGGTAGCCGCATGCAGTAACGAACTTTTTGATGTTAATGCAATGCTGTAGCAGACCGTGAGAAAAATCCTTTAGACAGAGAGTGAGTGAGAGTGAGAGAGAGAGAGAGAGAGAGAGAGAGAGAGTGGGTGAGCGAGTGAGTGACCGAGCGAGTGTGTGAGAGAGAAGAGAGAGGATACATCAAAGAAATAATGCCTTTAACGCTAGTAATAACGTTTTTCTTTTTTATTCAGAGACGAGAAGGAGCCGCTGAAGGAGGAGAAGAAGATCACGCCGATCATTGACTCGGGGCTGCGGCGCGAGTCATCGGTGACGTTCGACGGCAAAAGGTCGATCTCGAAGACGGGCTTCGTTGGAAAGGACTCGGCCGTTTAGATATTCTTCCGGCGTACTAGATTGTAAATCTCTCTTGCTCTGAGAACGAGCGTTAAAGGCGCGCGATTACGTTCCGTCAAAGAAACGTAGCCGACAGCAGCGGGGCTCCCCCCAGCACCGACCCGACGACGACGATGTTTACGCGTCGAATCACCAGCCGAAGACCGACGCGCGAGAGCCGCCCGACACACATCTACCCACCCACTCAATTATCCACCCATGCGCACGCCCACTCACCAATCCACGCGCCGCACACACAAGGGTCAATTGGCAGATACCAAGTTCAATCCCTTGTTTATCCCAGTAGTTTTTAGAAAACAACCGTCGTCTCGATGTACCTTTCTAAGAAATAGAACAGCGATTCCGCCGTTTCGGGGAGAATTTAGCTGGGAAAGTGGCTCGCAAACAACAAATTAAAATAAAATTTTTTCATAAGCAAATAATAATATGAAAGAGAGAACGAAAGAAAGGGTGAAAGGAAAGAGATGGACATGAAATTAAATGAAAGTGTGGATAATAATTTTTGAAAGAACGAACGCAACGAGAGCGGGGGTTACAACGGGATGAGGACGGTGAAGGAACTTTCGCGCTTCGATATCAGCCCTCCCCCCTCCCGTCCCCCGCCTCATTAACGATGACAATATCTAAATAGCTAAAGGATAAATAAAATGTCGGTGTGTTACTTAATAAGCGCCTTCTACTCTGACGACTAGATGCGGCAAAGAGACTTAGGAGAGCTGTACAAAAGAAAATTAACTGACGGGCTGATCCGTTGGACGAGATGGCATCGATCGACTTTCGTTACGTGTTGCGGCGTGTTCGCACGCTTAAAGAATAAGACAGAAGAGATCTTATCCAATCGCAATCGCAATCTAGTACGTCGGCTTCAATCCGATTTCTATATTATTACAATTATTCCTATTCACCTTCCTGTAAATACGTTTTCTCCTCAATGACACATGTATTATCACCTCTCATGCATTTTAATCGCTAAGGTATCACATTTACGGGAGGAAATCACTGTTGATTGTCATATATGACAGATAAGTCGAGCGCAATTTTATTCGAACATTGTACCGCTCCGATGCGATTGTATTTTAGGCGTTTGGTGTGCCGCGCGACTGCCGAATCGAACAAAAAGAATGAAAGAAAGAAGGAAGGAAGGCAAAATCCTTCATTCGCTATTTAAATTGATTTGTTTTAACGAAGACTGAGTCCTCTCTATGTAACTTTTAGATTATTAACAATCGGCACGTTAAAGACTTGGCATTGAACTTTTACGACTATCTAAGCTTGGAGAAAATCGATGATTATTCATAAAGACTCCACGATACCGACATTTATACAATTGTCGATTATATTTTGCGATGAGAAAAATTCAATCTATTCGTAGACATTGTCTCTACGACCTACTTATGTTGAACGTAACTAATGCTTATAATGCCATATGTTTGTTTTATTCGTAAGTATTGTATCTTTTAAAAAAAACACATATATATATATATATATATATATATATATATATATATATATATATATATATACGCATAAATCTTTATGACACAAAAAGACTTTAACAGGCGCGTATGTGTGTATTAATGTGTTTTACTTGTAATTTTAATGCAGTGTCGTTTCTTCTGTGCGAGACAAGTTTAAGTAAAGTAATGGAGGAATTAAGAAAAAAATTGGTTATACAACGTCACATTCCTCTCAGATATATGAATGCTTTCAACAAAACAATAAAATACAAAAACACAGACAAAAAAAAAATCACAAAAACACAAAGAAAAAAAAATACAAAAAAAAAAACAGTTGAAATTGTGATAAGTCTTTTGTAAATGCTTGTAAACATTATTATTCCCTAGTCTTAAAAGAAAGAAATGTTTGACAGACACGAAAAACCTGTGAAAGAGAAAAGAGCCACGCTACAGTATGACGTTGTATCGATCGGAATTCACAAACACATAGGCAACACGCACACACACACACACACACAGAGGCACTTACACACGCACACACAATAGTGTTATAATCGACGCCGAGGAAAGATCGATCATTCATCAAGGTGATCAATTTTTCCACGAACGTAGCTTTTTTACACGAAAAAATGATGCGAGATTTTGCCAAATGTAGAATATAGTACTTATTAGCTTGATAAATCAGTCAGTAAACATGAAAAAAGAAAAAAAAAGTGTCAATTTGCGTTAATTGGTATAAATTGAATTCGTAAAAAAGCACAAGTTGAATTAAAAGAAATTCGTTTTGTTTAATTTTAAATCGGTATATTATTTTTCAACTAGGATGAAAAATGACCAGGTAATGAATAAGTAAGTGTTCGACGTGTTAAAAAGTAACTTGATCTTAATTGTTATTATGAAATCATAAACGAAAATTAAATACTCATTTTTGCAGTGAACGTCGATTTAATCGGATAAGAAATGTCGCTTTCTATGATAAAATATTGGTTCGCATCTTCCGATGTTTCCAAAATTATTTCTTATAATTAGCCGTAAGACAATTAATTAGACTTAAGGCATATTTTTTATGTATGCTTTTTCTGTAAGCCACAATGACAAAAAGAAAGTTCAATAAAGGATAAAAGACATTGTCAAAAGGTTAGAACCCAAAAAAGGAACTCTCCAATATATATATATATATATGTGTGTGCATTTTTTTTTTTTTAATTTTTCTTCCATCTTTTTTATTTTTGTTTTCTTTTTTTTATTTCTTGTTTTTATTAAATAGGTACAACAGAATTTTATGCGTACTATGGCATTGGTTTACGCTAAAACCAATGGGGAACACGAACCCGTCGTACTCCCGTTTTGAATCTCCTCGACGACGTCATTATTACGATGACTACACACACAAACGCATAATGCGATTATTATACTTGTACACTTAAATTCAACCTCTAAAAGTCCAATGTTCATTTGCCCTTACGCGGGGCGGCACTTTAATTACATATTACTCGTTTCTAGAGTACGGTGAATTAAATTTATAATAAATTGTCCGAAAATATCAACAAAATCGTAACGAGTCTTTAAAAAAAAAAGAAAAAAAAAAGCAAGCGTGTATTTTTGTTTTTGACGAATGTGCTTTGCTTCCTTTCGAGAGAAACGGGTTCAAAAGTAATACTGGCACTATGTAACAAACTAGATATGATATGGCAAAACTCGGACACAAACGCACAAATGTTTAATTCCATATAAAATTAATCCGGACGGAATTTTGAATTTATCACACTTCGATTCCTACGTTGGATGATTTTCCTCTTTTCGTTAAAATTTGTTCTGTATTTAGGACTGGAGGTTGCGTTCGGGTGTGCCATACGTATACCTAAAGTGAAACAAAAAAATTATTTTGGTACAGTTGTAAATTTCAGTACGTGAAAGTGAAATGATAAATTTGATAATAACGATGCAGAGTAAATATTTTCAATCGAATGGTTAATGTGAAATTTGAAGCTACGAGTGGCAATGAATGGCAATTACATTTAAACAAGTTTTGCAATAATAGTAGTCGACGTAGGAATTTGATGACAAAATATATATCCTTAGACACGGCGACAATTTCATAATCTCAAAATAATATGTAAAAAAAATATTTAGAATTTTATATGATTCTATGGAAATGAGCAGTCAACATTGAAAGATTAAAAAAAAAAAAAAAAAAAAAAAAAAAAAAAGAATCACATTTATTTATTAATAATTTTAACGCCATCGTTAATCATAAAATAAAATAAAATAAGAAAATTAAGAAAATTTATCTGATTTTGTAGATTGAAACGTTGTTCGTTCATAGCTCAATAGTAAACTATATTATCGGCCCTCGGGTGTGATGATAAATCTACTTTACCGACTACAGGCATACACCAATATAAATTGTACATAGTCGTGACCAAGCGTCAAAGGTTTGCATTTTTGTAGAAAATTGCTGGATGATTTGACAAACGTACAATAAACATTCACTTTTAATACGAAAAAAAAATGTTTAATCTGCATGGTTTATAAAGAAATAATAATAATAATAACGTGTACCACAAGTGAGCACAATTGTTTTCGCATAAGTAATTTGTATGTTGAACTAATTACCGACCTTGGAACAACCGTCGGCAAGACCTTCCAGCTCATCCCTCCTTGTCACTTGCTTAAGAATTTCACTCTCCTGAAAGCCACTTTGAATATCGTAAGCAAATAAAGCATCCTTCTTCTCTAATATAACTTTTAAGTTAATTCCAAATCCAGCCATATCGATAGGAAATGGTCTATCGGGCTTCCACACCGCATTGAAGCCCGTCACTTTGTTTGTCATTTTTTCACATATGGGTCGTTCGACCATTAGTCCACCAACTAGACCCACGGGCCAAACGCCAACTCGCTTCACTTTTGTTATCTATAATTGTGTGTTTAAAGATTTTAATGTACTTGGTTAATGGACTATAGGGTCGACCTTTACTATTTCTTACCTCTTGAAATAGCTGTCTAGAATATGTGTTGTCGTCGTCCGCAAAATAAATAACACCATTGTGGCTCTCGTTAAGATTATTTCTAATCCACCTGAGAGCGGCGTTTCTTTGCTCTACTCCTCGAGGCTTCTTCCAGTTTGGATCGTTTTTTCCAAGCTTATAATGAGGAGGCGTTGGTGCATTTATGTGTGTATAAGTAAGGCCGCTCGAAGCAAGCAAATTAACTACTAACGGAGTCTTCTTTGGAGAGTCTTCTACAACGATCCAATGAAAGTTTGGTACGAGCAGAAACGTTTGAGATAATCTGGTGAGTTCGGCCTTTTGAACAGGCCTTGTGAAGGTAGGTGTTATCGCATAAATAATAGGGCCGTCGCTTGGCTTTCCCATTGTCTTATACTCTGCGATAGTTTCACACGTCTTTGCACCCGTAGGTATGGGCACGTGCACCGGCTCGTTGATGTTCTTGCACGCTATCGAGGCCGCTTTTATGGCTTCCAATGAATTCCTCGTCATCTCGCATAACTCTTGCTGAGCCTTGCAATCTGAAAGCACAAAGTCCATAGCATTAGAAACAGTTGACAGAGGAAACATACGCATCATCTTTAAGCGATGGCATCGTCGCTTTCATCCATCGTTACTTTAGCCAACGTATCCAAAGCCTCTTGAGAATTAAAAAATAAAACCAGTCTAACCGAGCTTCTTAGGTGCACTAAATTCAGGCACAAGTACGACTCTTGGCACAAAATAATCAAATAAATAATAATAATAATAATCATGTTGGAATTCTTGCTAGTAGATTGTATAAGACAATAATGAAGTTAAACGTGAGAAAACGTGAGTACTTTGATAATTGAAAAGTCAATGTCAAGCTTTGTCTTGGATGAGAAACTAAAGTAATTACAATGAAAGAGATTAAAATCAAAGAGAGATGCCAATGGACTACGATACAAAAAACAACCATTAACATGCACATTTTCCTACCTCGACTAACTCAACAACGCACCGCATTAGATAATATCGAAGGCAAATTGTTAATGAGACATCGACTACAATGTACGGCCATGGCCTTAAATAAATTATGTAAATCTAATGTAAATAAAGCTGAGCAGCGTGAGTAGGTAAATATTTTGTTAGATGCGCGCGCGCGCGCGCGAGAGAGAGAGAGAGAGAGAGAGAGAGAGAGAGAGCGGTAATCAGCGATCAACGATCCTCCAGGTTCCCGTAGCAAGATAATAAATGACGGTCGAGGTACGTCAATTTTAAGGCGGCAACGGCGAATTCGATCGTAGCGGCCGCGCGTCTCCAGCAGAAGCAAACGGGGCGACCGAAAGGCCGATAAGGTGTGACAGCCACCGGAGGGGCGAGGAAGGGCGGGGAAAAAGGAAAGAAGGGCGGAAAGGTGAAAGAGGATACAGACGCGCAAGACGTAATAAGTCGGCTTCGTCGAGGGTTTCCGACACGGGTCCGAAGAAGATCAGCGGAGTTCAGCCTCAGGGTTGGGCCCTCGACCTCGCTCGAGGTAGTGCACCGCGTGTTCGCGTCAGCGGGTGCCCGCGAGGGGCTCGAGAGTAACGAGAAGAATAGATGTCGCGTCAGCGCAACTCACTATTGTAGCTCTGCCAAACGACGAAGAGGAAGCCGACGATGAGGATCGTCCTGCTGAGGCACATGACGTAGAAGGGCCGGAAGCAGCGGCCGGTGCTCTTGTACAGCATACTGCCGTGCTCTAATCCACGGGCCGTCTCCTTCATCCTCAAGAGCCTCGCCTCGTCGCCGAATGCGCTAGCGAACGCCATAATGCCGCGGCATACCGAACGGCCACCCACGGCTCCCCTGGTCAGCGCGGCTACCACCACCATCATCTCCACCCCCACCACCACCACCACCACCACCACCACCGACGCCCGGTCCGACTCGCCGTTGCCACTTCCACCACCACGATCCACCACCACTGCCACCACTAACGCTGCCGCCGCCGCCGCTGCGGTGGCAAGTACATGAGGGGTGGACGCGCGCGATCGACAGCCACAGCCGTGGCTCGCCGATCTCATCCGTGTTCACCCGCACCATTCCATTGGCCTTCGTTCCTCCACTGGCTACAACTACACAACCACCGCGTGCCCGATGTCCGATTGCGGATTCGTGCTACCTCAGCTCGGAGCGGAGGTTCAGGTCATGGAGACCAGGAAAACTGATGCCAATGCTCCTCGTCGACGTCGGTATTATTGCTTGTTTGAACGCCTTGCCGATCAAACGACAAGATGATATCCTTACCAGTCGGCAGGGGTTATTGGGGGTGATGGGGCATTCGTTCGTGCACTTTGTGGACTTGCGTGGCTTCTTCTGGCTCGGATTCTCTCCAATGAGCTTTGCGTTATTCTCCCCTGACTTTGAATGAAAAAAGAAAAAAAGAAAAAAAGAAAAAAAGAAAAAAAGAAAAAAAAAGAAAAAAGAAAAAAGACAAAAAAAAAAAAGCAAACCCGTGCTACGATCGACCCGTGCTCCTGATCCACGATAATTACAAGGATGGAAAGGTGTCGTCGCCGAGTGAGTTTATGGATAATCGGTGTCGCACATGGTTGTTTAGGTGTCGGGGAGGTGCCGTCTACCTCGCCTATTAAAAAAATCTTCAGCATGTGTAATGGGCAAAAGTTATGTTGGCAACTTTCTCCACGTATATAAATAAAGCATGACGATGATGATATTCGGGGGTCTAATGGCGAATGGAAAAATTAAGAATTAAGAAATTTTGGTAAAGTGAGCGCTGCTAATAATTGAAAACGCAATTTAACTACGCGACGGAATGGAAAATTTCGGAAATTAAATTAATTTTTAATTGTCGTTTGTTTAGTTGTTTATTAATATTTCGTGACCTCGCTCTCCCGCGCCATGTGCTGTATGAATTTATTTTTCCGATCAATGTTCTTTCACGACAGTTTTGTCGGGGGAAAAATGTTTCTACGACCAAGTAGGCATGACATTCTGCAGGAGCGCGGTCGCTCGATTCGTCATTCAATGTGTTTCGATAAATCACGCAGAGGAGATGTAACTTATCTCCTCGAGCGTTTATCGTCGGAAAATAATCAAACTTATCTCCTTAATGACCAGTCGAATAATTTTAGCGTCGAAACAAATAAACGGAGTAGATGAAATTGAGGCAAAGTTACGTGCGAGTGAATTCGTGGCAATTATTCCATTAGTCAAGATATCGCAAAATAACTGAGAATAAGATAATTCTCGATACCGATGAAGGAAAAAGCTGCGGCGTAACCTCGGATTAGCTATTAAATAATTTCAAACGCCGCGCTGCCGTTCATTGAAATTTACGAATTACATGACTATGGGATGAATAATGAACATTTACATTATCGGAGGCGTATTGCTGTGTGATTGTAGATTCGCAATTGGTGGTAACCTAGTTAAGCGAATGATATTCGTCGTGTGTCTCGAATGCACAAGCGTATATTTACAAACATGAAGAGTCGTCGGGCGGAAATAGTGAAAATCACGAAATCGTGAAACGATAATAATTTCAATATCTTTATATTTTCTCGGCTCGCTCGTAGATTTTTCGCTAAATATACGCGCACATTAGTTTCGAATATTTTCCGAAAATATTCATGTCGAATGATTTGTGGTAGTGGTGGTGGTAATAGCGGTAGTAATACTAGTAGTAGTAGTGGTGATGGTAGTAGTAGTAGTAGTGGTGATGGTAGTAGTAGTAGTAATAATGGTAGTAGTAGTAGTAGTAGTAGTAGTAGTGGTAACAATAATAATAACAACAACAACAACAACAACAACAACAACAACAACAACAACAACAACAACAACAACAACAACAACAACAACAACAACAACAACAACAACAACAACAACAACAACAACAACAACAACAACAACAACAACAACAACAACAACAACAACAACAACAACAACAACAACAACAACAACAACAACAACAACAACAACAACAACAACAACAACAACAACAACAACAACAACAACAACAACAACAACAACAACAACAACAACAACAACAACAACAACAACAACAACAACAACAACAACAACAACAACAACAACAACAACAACAACAACAACAACAACAACAACAACAACAACAACAACAACAACAACAACAACAACAACAACAACAACAACAACAACAACAACAACAACAACAACAACAACAACAACAACAACAACAACAACAACAACAACAACAACAACAACAACAACAACAACAACAACAACAACAACAACAACAACAACAATGATGATGATGATGATGTCGACGATGAAAAGAGTAATTTAAGCCTTCCGTAAACATATATTGGGATCTAAATTGCATATCGTACTTTAAATCGGCCAAAGTTTTCGTTTTTTTTTTTTTGTTGTTGTTTTTGTTTTTCTCCTCCTCTCACTCACTCTCATGTCTCACGCAATAACAGGAATTGTGAAAGTAAGAAACTTTTAATGACACTTTAAATTACATTATTTATAAAATATTATCAAAAGTAAAATCGTAAATTTGAATTTGTGCATGTACGTGCATACATTTGCCTTTTGATTGTATGTTTGTAGGTATGAGAAACAAACAGAATTCGTAATCCTTTAGTGAAATGATAATGCTCTTTTGTATATTTCAAAAATAATGTGAACGATAAGAAAATTGGAAGATCGATAAACCTTATCTTACCATTTTAAGTACGTTGATTGTTCGTTTAATAAAAAGAAAGCACGAAAGTCGGAGAATAATATTTTTTAAATATTAATCGTATTGTATGAGCGGCGTAGCAATGGCACATGTTGTTAATCTGTAATATCAGAGGTTGGAAACGCCGTAGGCAAATGCAAATAATAAGTAAGAGCGTGGGGCATTGTACTTAGGTGATAAGTATTTGGCAATGTTGCACGTTTCTTAAAATTTGTTACCACGACTTAATCATCGAATTGACAATAATTGATAGCAGGTAGATGTAAGGAGCGGTGAATTTGAAAATTCATCGGTATTCCGATATTTTTTCAGTGAAAAACGCCGGGAAAAGGTAACGACTAATATAAATTCGTAATCGTGTTAATCGATAAAAAGCTTTCGCGTGCAGAGTACATAAGGTAATAAACGATAAATGTAGAAGAAATAAATTGGATAATAATGTGTATGTGCGTTACTTGCATCCTTGAGGTGCAAATTACATTATAATATTGTTACATAATGTATTATTAACATTACAATTCTTTATTGTAGCTCTTTGTTTGTCATAAATAACCAAGTGAATAAAAATTGAAGAGCAAAATGTACATAATTTAAATTTATTTAATAAAATAAAATATCGTTGAAATAGCAATCTCATATAGTAAGCACTTTCTTTAGACATTTTTTTAAAAAAAAAAAAAAAAAAAAAAAAAAAAACTTATATACGTATATATGATTTCAAAGGAAACAGTTGCTGATAATAAAGCGTTCACATTTACAATAAAAGCTATTGCTCGTATGTAATTATGATATGTAAAATGTGCTGTTAAAATGTACTTTTTTACTACTCTTTGAAAAAAAATTCGCGAAATATTTTAGACATTTCACAAAAATACAACAATACGAGGCATTGAGCCGAACGATTACACTGTCAGATATGTAAAATAAAAAGATAATAAAGAAATGCAGCTAGAGAGGGAGAGAGAGAGAGAGAGAGAGAGAGGTGAACGTTATAAAGTTCCATTTGACTCCGTTATACGATGTAATATGCGTCGAGAGGATGTTGACTACTCAGCAAAACTTTCGACGAAGAAGGATGCAGCGGCACTCGCTGACAATCTCGTCCAAGTCTTTTAATTATTTACTACGATAATTACGGATTACAAAAGAATGATGGCGAAATTATTTACTTTCAAATCATTTTCACATTTGAGCGACAGAACATTCTAATGTGGCTTAGATAAACTAGCCAAGAAATCGATTGCTATCAAATATTTTAGTGGAACGAGTTATTATAATGTCACTTATCCTTCGATCCTACTCGTATCGTCCTCGAGATATTAATTATGTTACTTGGCAATAATATTCTCATGGAAATTTTTGACAATCACGACAAAAATTAGTAAATGAAAATCAAAAACAAAAAAAGAATAAGAACATGGCAGCGTTAGTCGTCGTTACATATGTTACAATACAATTTTATCTCACCTATCGTCACTCATCGACGATGGCTCATTACGAAATTTTTCCAATTATTAATAGGGATATTAAAAGCCGATCAATTGGAACATCTGAAAGTAATGGTTTGTGTGGTTTTACACAATAATCTAATACGAAGAAAGCCAGTTATCTATTCATTCGCACGCGGTACTATGGAACTTTCAATGACATTTAATTACTCGAGTAAAAAGGCGACTCACTACACATTGCGATGAAAGCTGCAATTACTTGGGTCGTTATAACGACGATCGCGTATCTCGTTATTTGATTTATCGTTCGTGGTGACGACAGGTAGGCTCGGCGAAAGTAGAAAGTCTCTTATTTTCATTTGCAACGGAGAGAGAAGTATCGTGCCGAGGTAACGAAAACGTCAAATCTGTAGAATAATTTTTTTGCATACTAAGGGACGGGTCTTGCAAGCGCACGGATTTGATTTTCGATACCTATAGACGGGATGATCTCTGTCTAATTATCGGGCACGTGAAAAAGCCGCGATGTCGGCCAATCGTAATACGTAAATTTTACTTGAGCGCGATATTGCCGAGTTAATGGCGCCGTCGCTTGAAAATTCCAACGTAAGTATTTGCCATCGCCAGCATCCACCACCACCAGCACCATCACCAAAGTCATCATCCTTTGAGTCTCAATGCTTAAAAAAAAAAAAAGACAAACTTTAAGAAAAATAAGAGAGAGAGAGAGAGAGAGAGAGAGAGAGAGAATTAATAAGAGGAGCACCTCCCCGCCCCCAACTCACTGCCCTTGAAAAAAAAATCTTCGATTCGATTCGTTAGGCAATTGTTAATGACTATTGAAAGACTCCGGAAAAAGAGTAAATCGATAAACAAAAGCATTCAGGAAAAAGAAAAAGTAATGGAAAGAGAAAGGAAAAAACATTCGCACATTTTTTAGATGTTTCATCCGAGGCGTACACGTTTCCCGTCTATTATTGGCTATGGCTAACGAGTGCCCCGTCGACGTTTTCCGCGCTGAGCTGCACGTCGTAAGCGACGATAAGTTCGATTTTTCCAGCAGCAGCAGCAGTAGCAGCAACAGTAACAACAGCAGCAACAGCACCAACAGCGATTGCGTCCGGGACGTAAGGCGACATCGTACGGAACTGGACGTCCGGCTCCGAGGCGCGATAGCCCCTTTCCGCCCACGCAGTCGCTCTTTCCTCATATCCAATGGCTAATCGCTTCTCGATCCTTAGCGACATCGGCCCTCCTAGATTTATGAGCAATGGGCGAACGAGCTCGCTAATCGGCCACGTAGATGGGAATCCCGGCGAGGTTCGTCCCCGCTACCAAGCCGCCGATCGATCGAGCTCGACATTCTAGAGCAGCGAGAGCTTGCGTTGTTAATTAATTATATCGGGTGTTGTTGACGGCAGCTGGGGACGGGGCGGGAGGGGAGGGCGAGAGGCTGGCGTACTCAACCAGTTCCAACTTGGAGTACTTTGGAGTTAAGGCCGAGGTCTGCCACCTCCCTCCCCCTCTCTCAGTGACGAGAGGCAGTAAAGCGGCGATGGAGGCGCTGCGATATCGCCTTGTGCTTTAATCTCGGCGTAACTTTTCACTCGCAAATAAATGCAATTTGCCATCACGCGATACCCGTCAACGTTCCTTCAAAACTGCGCGCCAATCGTTCGATCAGCGCCACTTACCTACCGAGGATACGCCGTCGTCGGTAGCACTTTGTCCTTGGTCGTTGAGTTGCCAGGGACGGGACGTCGGCGAATCACTCGAACCGCTGCTGCCCGACAGATGGAAACAGCAGCTCCACGAGGTTTATCCCGCCTAGAGATATATCGAGCCTCGATCGTGGAATAATAAGCTCGTTAAAAGCCTCGGGCTCCCCCTACCCCCGCCATCATCCCAAATCATCGTGCGTGCGTTGTAATCAATCGCCAGTACAGATATTAATACGGCTCCGGCGATATTATAACGACACATTATTATATTAGTGGCCGGGTGGGGCGGTAGGCCGAGTGTTGTATTTTTGTTTGTTTTGCTTTGCTTTTGGAAGTTTAGAAATCGATTTAGGCGCGCGCAGTGCTAAAGTCGAAATTGGTAATTGGTCGCGAGGTGCTTGGGGCTAGTTCGGGGCCCATAATCGGCATCGAGGCATCCTTGATAGCTCGTAGGTAGAGGTGAGTTATCGCGAATCGGCGAGTAGGATACACCAGACGCGAGTTGTTGGGTATATTTTATTTTCTTAGAGAGCGACGCGGTCGTGGAGTCTTGGGAGCGCGTCTTTCC